CCGGTCTGTGACCGTAATAAAATATTGATTGATTGATTTTCTTGAACTACTACTTCTTGAACTACTTGTTCAAGTAGTTACGAAAACTAAAAACAAGAAAACATTAAACATTAATACATTGAAAATGCAGTAGGACGGCATTCTACTATTTGGGCCCTCCAGATATGCCACGGAGGGTGGGAATTCTGAAAGCGATAGTCTCAGTATATCTGGAGGGCACCGGGTTCAAAGTCAATCTACGCTCATTCATTTTAAAGCTTGTCTTCTGCATGATTTAGCAATCTCATTATGACTTCCTGGCATTCTCTTCCATGGTGATTGTATGGTTGTCAACAGGAGCAGGAAATTAGAACCAAAGAAACATTTCCAAATCTTCAACTGCCAACTATTCTGAGGAAATCTACAATGAATATTCATGGTGTATTTAAGATCTCTCTTCCTAAATAATAATAATTAAAAAGATATGCTTTTCAGGTAAATGAAACTTTGCTACATGAGAGGTTTTTCTTTAACACAGTGAACCGATACAATCTTATTAAAATTTCTTTAGGCATTTCTTTCCCAGGGTTCAAGGTAATCCAAGCCAAGGTGTGCAAAAATTTCTTCCTCACTTGCAGCATTCAGAAAAATTTTCTGGAAGGAGAAAAAAGCTCAGTTTAAATTAAAGGAGATAATTTCTAAAACAACTTTGTTGTTGTTCACGGTCAGGTTCCAAATGAAAAACATATTCTTATTCTGCAAAGTATACATATACAGAAAAGCAAATAAATAGCTTTTTTTCTCCTAAGCATGTCATATTTTTAATTTAGCATCAGTTAAGGCTCTGCAGAACTCTTGCTTTATCTCAATCAATTATTTCATAAATATTGCATTTATGTAACATATATTCTTATTGACCTTTAACTACACTTAATACAAAATGCCTGTTTTGCAAATGATTTCAGACTATGAATTCCATTCCTGTATTTCTTGTTATAGCTTCACTGATCAATAAGGTACAAGAAGCATGAAGTGAACAATCTTAATTAACATTTTAATCAATAGATGGTTGCAACTTCACCAAGCTCAAATTTCTTACTATATTAATGCATAACTTGCTTTTTTAAATATATCCTTTAATATTACAAATGTAGTATTCCAAAATGGTTGCCAAAGAAGCAGATCCTGAACTCAGAATAGGATTTCCCAGTATCTTTGCCAAACTTTTTTTTTTCAGAAATGAATGAAAATGTCTTTTGCTTACTGGGCTGTGATCCTCAGACTGAATATAAAGGTAAGCTATAAGTATGTTAAATACATCAATAATAATAATAAATAAGAATGCATTCATAATATTTATTAATAATTAATAAATTAATTACAGAACAGTAAGCCTGCTTTCTTTCTTTTTTTTAACCTCCAGGGTTAAAAACCTAGAGATTCTGCTTTTATTTCAAAATGTGTGATCACGTTGTATGAGTTCCTGCTTCTTCTATTGCTCTGTTAGAAAGCAGCCAGGAGGAAGAAAAGATAGAACCGGATTAGGGAAATGTAGACAGAAGACTTCACCTTTGTCTCTTCAGGTTTAGAAGTTAGCGGTGTGCCTCTGGGTTGAAACCTAGGGATCCTAAATTTGAGATTTGGGATAGTCTGTATTTTTGTTTCTTGAACAATGTATTTCCATGGCTGAGTCAGTCTTATGCCACAATTTCACCACCTTCATTGCCAAAAACAGACATTCAGTTCTATAGCATCTCTTAAAAAGTGTATTAGTTTAACCACCCCTGAAATCTGACATTATAGCACCCATGAATGTCTCAACGCTTTCCATGTTAAAATGCAGCCAGTGATAGTAGGCAGGAGCAACTGAGGAGTTTCCTGGGCCAAACCTCCCAAATTTGTTACCAGGTTTTTCCTATGCATAACATAGCTGACAAGTTAATATCAGAATTTCTTTCCCACATCATTTAGAGATCCAAGCAGATGGCTCCATGCCAGCAAAGAAGAAGTTAGGAGAGACTCAGAAACTCAGAACTTCGCTTTGTAGAAAATCACTTCTGTTCATCTCCATGAAGGCAAACAAAATTTATACAAATACACATACATATACATACTGTATGTGTGTATGTATGTATGCATGTATGTATGTATACATACACACACTCTGAAAAAAGAGTGTTCTGCCCTACAACCAAGCTTTAATTTCCCCCCTCTCTGGCTTTACCAATTCCCAATCAGTTGAAGCCTCTGTCACCCCACCCATCATAACAACAAATAGTGCTGGAAATAACTGAGCCAAAATGATGGAGAAATGTCACTATTTCCTGTTACAAGAAATATTTACAGTAGTCTAATAGCCATATTTAAGACAAAAGGAGAGAAATAGAAAAAGAAGTAGCAACAAAGATATCCTATAGCAGATGCATTTTTTTTTTTTTTACATCTATCATGAACTTGGCATATACTGTAGGTATGTATGAAGTGTAGACTTTGTCTCAATCCTGTTGGGCTTATAAGGTTGTATGGAGTCACATGGACACTGAGATATATTTTACTTAGCAGTCTGTTTGTACTTTCCACTACTGCAATATCACAATGCCCATCCCAAATGAGTAGGGCATATATCAAGTCTGTAATGGTATATGGGAAAGACCTTGGGAGATTGGGCCAAGAGACACTGCCTAGGGAACGGTCAGATAAGAGACAGCATAGCCCAAAGCTGAATAGTGGGCAGGGCAAGAGGTCAGAAGAGACCCTCCCTAGTTTCTCAAGCTGTAAAGGAGATGAAGGAAGAATTGTACAATCTACAGTATTTCAGTCTTACCAGGTAGACCAGACAGGAAACATGATCAGATGAGCTAATTCTACTTTATTGTAAGACTACATTAACAGAATTTTGCAAGTCTGAAGGTACAATTCTCTTCCGTCTCCTTTACAGCTTGAGAAACTAGGGAGGGTCTCTTCTGACCTCTTGCCCCGCCCACTATCCAGCTGTGGGCTATGCTGTCTCTTATCTGGCTATTTCCTAGGCAGCGTCTCTTGGCCCAATCTCCCAAGGTCTTTCCCATATACCATTACAATGTCACAGCAATGCTGCTTTCATCAGACTGAGTCATTTCACACACCACACCTATGGACACTGCTGTCTGGCAACATTTTCATAATCAACAGTCTTTTAATCTGCCCTGCCCAAATTATTATTTGAAATATATGGCATTAACAACAACAAAACTGTCTATAGTTTAAGAAACAAGAACAAATAGATTTCTAGTCCTTTTATTCCATTTTCATTTATCACTTTTTCAGGTAGATCCAGCCCTGAATTTAGATGACTCAAAATAATGTATAACTAAAAGAACACAAAGAGCATTTTCAAACTGAATTAACAAAATAGTAATTGTTTCTTATTAAGCAGGAAAGTTACTCGCTACTCCTTTTAAATATGGAATGTTTTTTTTTCCCTGTCAAGATTCAATAGGATATTGGTTTTTGCAGATTTTTAAACCCAACTTTAGCCCCTCAATTATAAATATTTTTCAAGTCGCAAGCTATCATCATGGAATTGCTTTAAAGTCACTATTTCAAATTACACATACAAGTTAAAACTGCAATAATCTCTGGGAGTTCATGGCTGGAAATTACTACCATGGATGTTCCATTCTGGATAGAGATTTGATGTTTCATTAAATGAAGTGCCTATAATGAGAACCTCTCTCACAGAGCTTTTTTGACATTAAGCTCCATGGACTGCAATGTCAACAGCAGGGCATCTGCAGATTTGGATACATTTTATTCAAGCTTCTGATTCATTCATTTCCAGTTGGTTCAGTGTGGATATATGGATGCATTCTCCATTTCATGGAGGAATATGTCCTCATGATTGATGTTCAGAAAACCACAGATGACCACATTTTCACAAAACAGAAGGATCACATAAGCAGTGGGTTCTATCTGAACTAGGCTCTGGAGATGCAGGAATCAAGTCAGCAAATGTTAATTACCGTTCAGAATAGTCTGAATCCAGGAAGCAAGGAAGGTAGGCATCCATGAGGCAGAGGAAATGAGCCCCAGCAAATGGAATCATCACAAGCAGTGAAATAGTTGCAAGAGTGAGGATAAAAGCCTAAAACAGACCAACGAAAGTACGAAGGCCAACTACTCCAATTAACTGAGCTCTTTGGAAGAATGAATATGCAATAACTGTAACAGCTCTATGAAAAAAACCAGCTGACTTAGAGGTCTTCCATGAGCTGCATTAATGAGCATTCCTACTGTCTGTGAGTTGGCAGAAAAGTATGTCCGCATACAATTTATGTTATGCTGCTTCCATGATTGAGCTTTACTCTCCTTCAGCAACGAGTGCAGGGGATGGTCCTTTCTTTACAGATTTAATGCAGGACAGTTTCAAGACGACAACTGGAGGATTCCCAGGTGTCCTTTTCCCTCCCACCCAGCTTCCCTTGCCAGCAAGAAAAACAAAGATATCTCTTACTCTATGGTCACACAAAAAAGCTCACTTTTTTCTATTATCTATTTTTTTCCTAATCTACAAAACCACAAATCATAAGTGTATTTTTTTCTGTTTTATACA